GTCATTTCGAGGAGCCATGTCAAATGAAGTTTAGGACTTGCTTTAGCACTATAAAGCTGTTAAAGAGACATATGAAAACCCCCAAAAGAAAGATAAAGAGAGATAAATAGGTCAGTAAGAACTAAAGTCTGCACAAGTAGTTGAGCAATCTGGAAAGAAGCATGTCTGTTGTCTCATGAGATACCTTCCCCAGAAAAACACTGGGAGAAGATTTAAAAAGGGAACCCAAAATTTAGAAACTATGCCCCACATCCTCTTACTGGGTCTTTGTATCTTCCAAATTTGGAGCCCAACAAAAGGAAGTGAGGCATATGAGTTCAAGACCTGTTGACCACAAAAAGCCTTACATCTCCCCAGAGACACATTTGTGTTTTAGGCCAAAGATCTCTATTATTTTCACCTCTACTCAAAGGCAGCTTGATCGTCTTATTAAGGCCATGATCTAGATTGCATTACATATTGAGAAGACTGCATTAGAAATTGAGCACAAGAGCATCCCAACAAAACCCAGAGACTACTGTGAGAACTGACCCTCTTTTGCAACAACCGGAAAAGCCTAAAGTTTCCACAATTTGTCTTTGAGTTAGGGAACTTAGCCAACTTTTCTCAAAAGCTACAAAATACATGAACACTAGCTAGGTGCTATTAGGTTTAGATGTCCCTGTGTGAGAAGAAAAGCATTGGTTGAATCTCAGTCAAAGTCAGAAAGAGACAGAAATACATCTTGGGGCTCTCACAGCTTGGAAACATTACTGTTTGAACAATAGATGGAATTTCCCAGCTATCGTTTAAAAGGGGAACTTTCAAAGCTCAGAACATCTCAAGATTCTGCATGCTTATTTTAAGATCTGATGCAGAAGAAGTAGGCTTCAGTTGAAAGATGGTTTATTTACTGTGCCTACACCTAAAAATATTTTAAAAATACCAATACTCCAAAACACCAAGAAACTTCCATTGACCTATTTCCAAATGAAGCTAAATCTACACAGGAAGAATAGAAGAATAGAGTGTCATTTTAAAGGATAATATTTTATTTGATCTAACTTTCGTGAGAGCCAAATGGAGGGGAGTTGATTGATCCCATAAACCGTTGAAAGGTCATATGAATGGGCCTTAGAAAATGCCAGAATTATCAGGAGATGCTAGGATCCTTAAGCTGAGGTTGTTCTACTTTGGATCTGTCATGAGACAACTTGATTCACTAGAAAAAAATTGTAATGTTTGATAAAATGGAAGACCAAGCTTCTTGGGGCTGTTCCAGACAGCCCTTTATCCCAGGAACATCCGCGTTTAAAAAACACAGATGTTCTTTGGGTTCTGTCTACACCCACCCCCAAAAGTGCGTGCCCGGTAGAACATCTGGGAACCCTCCCCCCAGCCCCCAAACCTCTTTTAAAAGTAAAAGATGTATCTGGCCTCCATTATAATCTTACCGTATCTCTCCCGTCATGTAGAAATGACATGCCAGGAGAACGAGGGGGGGGGGGGAGGAAATAGTTTAACCCCCCCCCCTTCCTGGCATGATTATGACATTTCTATGCACCAGGAGAGCTCTAGCTAGACTATAATGGAGGCCAGGTAAGTTTATTTTACTTTTAAAAGAGGTTTGGGGGCTGTGGAGGAGGGAGTGGGATTCCCACAGGTTTCCAGAATAATTTAGTCCAGAAAACTGGGGGAATGGTTTCTGTAATGCATCCATACACGCGCCTTCCAAGAAGGCATGGAATAAATCCACTATCAAATTGATTCACCACAAACCAGGATTTTCCTGGTTTGTGGTGAATTAATTCAAGATTGTCCAGAATGTTGTCTGGACAGCCCCCTTTTTATTGCAGAAATTTCTGCAATAAAGGTACTGTCTGGATGGGCCCTTGGAGGTCTCTTATTTGTAGAGTCAAAGTCAACTTGACAGCAAATAACAACCAATATCAACACTTTTGTGGTATATAACTCATTTCATCAGATGTATCTATAGGTTGTGAAATGCTGCCTGGGTTTTGATACTAGCACAAACACAAAACAATCTATGCGTAATGTCAAAGTGTATTATCAAAAGCATATATAGTATTCCATTTACCAAAATCCCCAGTACATAGCTCAATTCAGTGGTACACAGCAAAATCAAAAGGAGCAGCCGCTCTCAAACGTAACAGTTCTCGGTCTGGATAAGGATTCCACTGTATATAGGCTTCAGGGATATATTCAATATGAAAAGTCATATAAACAAAGTAAGCATTGAGTCATGAGGCTATATGTAAACTGAAGACAATAATGAAGATGGAGCGCCACTCTCAAAACAATCTTCATGGAAAAAATCCAAATCAAGTCCAGTGAAAATGGAGCACTGCGTCTCAAAATAAGTCTTCAAAGGAAAAGTCCAAATGGCATTCAACAGGGGTGCAGGGTTTCGGGGAAACAGGGTACAAAAATAGGGTACAAAAATACAGGAAGGAAAGGAAAGAGGTAGAGAAGGAAGGAAAGAGGTAGAGAAGGAAGAAAGGAGAGAAAGAGGGAGGGAAAGAAAAAGGGGGAAGGAAGGAAAGTTAGAGAAGGAAGGAAGGAGAGAAGAAAAGAAAAAAGGGAAAGAAGGAAGCAAAGAGGGAGCAAAGGAAGGGGGAAGATGTAGAGAAAGAGGGAGAGAAGGAAAGAGAGAAGGAAGAAAAGAGAGACAGCAGAAGAGAAAGAAAAAGGGGGAAGGAAGGAAAGAGATAGAGAAGGAAGGAAGAAGAGAAGGAAAGATGGGAAGGAAGGAAGGAAGGAAAGAGGGAGTGAAGGGAGGAGGGAAAGAGGGAAGATTGGCCACAGCAACGCATGGCGGGTACAGCTAGTCAAATATAAAACTATACAAAGTAATTATAAACAAATTATGTGGATGAAATAAAAAAGATCACGATATAAACATACCAACACATGTAATCAAATTATATAAGATTATAAAACAATATTACACTAGAATTCCTAAATTCCAATATTAAACTAGAATTAGACAATAAGGAAGTCATTAAATTGAGATTTTAAAAAGTAATAAGGAAAGGAGCAGTTCACAGATGTTCAGGGAGGCAATTCCAAAGGTGTGGAACAATGAGTGAAAAAGGACCAAGCCACGAAAACCATTAGTTGGGTGACAAGCCTAGAATTCCTAGAATATAGATCTTGAGTAAGCTAGGAAAATATAATCAGGCATGAAAAATAGTTTGCCATGAGTTTGTGCAGGCTTTGAATGTTAAAACAAGAAGCTGGTACCAAATCTTAGAAGAATTGGCAACCAACAGAGAGAATGCAAAAATGGAACACCATGATAAAAATGATAGGTGGAAAATTTTATTTAATAGCATAATATTCCATGGAAACCAGAGAACTAGGGTACGAAGACCAGCCAAAAGAAGACTGCAATAATCAAAGCAGAAAAGTAAGGTCTTATCAAAAAAAAAAAAAAAGGGAGGGAAGAGAAAGAAAAAAAAGAGAGAGAGAAAGAAAAAAAAAAAAGAAAAGAAAAGAAACAGAAAGAAAATTAAATTTCTATCTTTTTTTTCACTGCCTCTCTTGGATCTTTCTAATCCAATGGTTCTCAACCTGTTGGTCCTCAGATGTTTTGGCCTTCAACTCCAAGAAATCCTAACAGCTGTTAAACTTGCTGGGATTTCTGGGAGTTGTAGGCCAAAACACCTGGGGACCCACAGGTTGAGGACCACTGTTCTAATCTTATCTGGACTATATTCCAATATTCCCCTCCACAGCTAGGCACACTCACTTATCCAGCAGCGAGGAAGGAGACTCTAATACGATTTGTCTTCAGTCCGGAGTCTGACCCCGATGAAGATTTATGCCAAAACCAAAAATGGAATCGACAGGAACCTGAAAAGTGAGAAAAGCAGAAGTGTCAGCAAATTGCTTGTGCAAGAAGATGCAGCAGATGAGGACTTTCGCAGAGACTTTCCCTCATCTCACTATAGAAAATCTCAGCATTTACAGCCACACTTACTAAAATAAGTTATTGGCTTGAGTGGGTGAAAAAATAGAGGGGCCCAAGGCTAATTTATCCTGGTGTTTTCTGGGCAAGATTTTCAGAGGCATTTTATCTTTCAGGCTGAGAGAAGGTGATTTGCTCAAGGCAACATGGTGGGTTTTCTTGGTTGGACAGGGATTCAAACCCTGGTCCCCAGAGTCATCAATACTCAATCCAATACGCCATGCTGATTCATATAACCTAACTGGTTTAAAAAGATGTGTGTGTGTGTACTGTTGAAGGCTTTCATGGCTAGAATCACTAGATTGTTGTGAGTTTTCCGGGCTGTATGGCCATATTCCAGAAGCATTCTCTCCTGATGTTTCACCTGCATCTATGGCAGGCATCCTCAGAGGTTGTGAGGTCAGTTAAAAACTAGAAAAATGGGGTTTATAGATTTGGAATGTCCAGAGTGGGAGAAAGAAATAACAGGAAAGCAAGTTATTTATTAAGGATGAATACACAAGTTAGAAGAGACGTCTGCACTTGTCACCCTTTCTCTCTCTTCTCTACTGGGGCTCCTTCCACACAGCAGAATATAATTCCACATTATCTGGGATATATGGCAATGGGGATTCAGATAACCCAGTTCAAAACAGACATCATGGAATTTTCTGCCTTGATATTCTGGGGCATATGGCTGTGTGGAAGGGCCCTGGGTTAATTCAGTGCAAACTTTTTGGCACTTTACAAGTTTGCCGTGCTTTACTTAGTTTCTCTAATCTTTGTTCCGTTATATATGTTACTATATCTTTCATTTTTATCTGGTCCTTTTTATATAGATTTTTATAGAAGTCTCTAAATTGTTTTATTATCTCCTCCTCTGAAAAAAAAATCTTCCCTCTTTAGTTATCTTTGTTATATGTTGTTGTTGCTTTCTTTTCATTAATTTCCTAGCCAATAGTTTCCCTGGTTTATTGGCACTGGCAAAGTATTTTGCCTTCAAAAATTTAAGTTCCTTGCCATTTGCTCCAATTGTGTCACGTTCAATTGCTTTCTAATAAGATCCAATTCTAGTATACTTTTTTTATCCCCCGGTTTGGTTTTCAAGAGAATTTCTTTTTCTTCTAAACTTCAAGAGAAGGGTGTGACAAGTCTACCATCACCTTCAGACATCATCGAGATGCAAATTTATGACTCCGGGGAGATTAAGACATAAGCTGCAGTCCATGTTAAAGTGACAAAATAGCTTTGTTACCATGTATTGAACTGCTTTTTCTACCAATTTGTTGTAAAACATGATGTTTTGGTGCTTAATTTGTAAAATTATAACATAATTTGACATTTAATAGGTTTTTCCTTAATCCCTTCTTATTATCCAACATTCTGCCAGCCCGTTTATGTCAGATATTTATTTATTTTATTTACTGCTTTTTATATTCCACCCTTCTCACCCGCAGGGGACTCAGGGCGGATTACAGTGTACACATATATGGCAAACATTCAATGCCAATTGACATACAAACGTATACAGACATACACAGAGGCTATTTAACTTTTTCTGGCTGCCAGGGGAGCTGTCGCTTTCATTGTCCATCTGTGACACTGATGAAGTACTTCCGCATTCCCCGCATGCTTTTGCTGGAGTGCTTTGCTGGAGTCTTTTTTATGGCCTCATAAATTAGTTAATTTAACCTCCCCACACTTTAAGGTGGTACCTAATTTTCCTACTTGACAGATGCAACTGTCTTTCGGGTTGCAAAGGTCGACAACAGGCTACACAAGATAAGCGAGACTACTGTACATATATTGTGTGTATAGAGGCAGAAATAATTTTCTGCTTAAGGCACAGCACCAAGTGGTGTTTCATACCCACCCAGTTCAAGAAGCACATCACCCATTTCAAGGAAAATTATTTCAGCATGAGAGGCACGAATTCCCTCAAGCTCACTTCCTCATCTTAGAAACACAAATCATGACAAGCCCAAGAGCTTGTGTGTCCGGCAACCCCAAGAGTCATGTCAAAGGGCAGCTTGTCCCAGCTGTACTCCTAGAATCAAACATTCAAAATAGTCCAGCAATTCCTGATGCCACCACCTAGAGAACAGACAACCATGAGATTCTACCATGTTATGGAGAGAAGAAGTAGGAGAATAATCCCAAAATTACTTTCTAAACAGACAAAACACATCTGTGCCCTGAATCCCCTTGGGAAAATAGAGTTGTAAATAAAGTTGTTGTTGTCGTCGTCATCTCCAGATCTACCTGCAAATGTGAAGCAAAGAAATAGAAGAGAAGGAGCAATCTGCACTGCACAGCTAAACTATGGGAACCATAGGGTTGTGTAGATGATTAACAGTCTCTGAAAGCTATAGCCACATGATTTCTTGGGGAAGCCAGAATTATAAAAAGAGGCTTAGGATGTATCTGCACTGAGGAAATAATGCAATTTGTCACCACTTAAATTGCTACAGCTCAATTCTGTAAAATTGTGGAGGTTGCCGTTTTGCAAGATCTTTAGCCTTCCCACAATTCCATGGCACTGAGCAATGGCTGCTAAAGTAGTACCAAACTGCATTAATTAATTAGGTGCATCCTTAGTTTGGAAGTACTGT